GAGTCCCTTGGACTGCAAGGGAATCCAACCTGTCCATCCTAAAGATCAGTCCTGGGTGTTCATCGGAAGGACTGATGCTAAAGCTGAAACTCCAGTACTTTGGCCACCTGATGTGAAGAGCTGACTCATTGGAAAAGACCTTGATGCTGGGAAAGATTGAAGGTGGAAGGAGAAGGGGACGACAGAGGATGGGGATGGTTGGATGGCATCACCAACTCAATGGACTTGAGTTTGAGTAAGATCCGGGAATTGGTGATGGACAGGGAGGCCTGGGGTGCTGCAGTCCATGCAGTTGCAAAGAGTCGGACACGACTGAACGACTGCATTGAACTCTCATGTAGATTTCCCAGGAATGTGTGAATGCGCATCTCTGTCTCTGATGTACTCCTACCTGTTGTCATGTCCAGTAAGTGCCAGTTCTTTATCTCACACCACAAGGAAAAGAGACAATGGTTTCCTGGGTTTTTAAAGAAGAGAAGGAGTTCATGGTAATTTTTTCTGCCATAGAGGAAGAGAGTTATATTTATGATGTGTACCATTTGAGAAATGCTTTACAAAATGGCTAAAAGCGAGGAAAAGACCATAGAACGAGTGTAGTTATAAAAATCTCTACATTGGGGATCTATTCTACTGCTATTATGTAATAATAGACTGTCAACCTTCATTGATAAGCATTAGAGTTTACCTTTCTATAAAGATTTGAATTAGGGGAGCTCAAACGATTATATGTTTAGAGTACTCCTTTATCAGTTCTTGTCTCTTAGAGGAGCCAGTAACGCTGTCCTTTTTCAAAATAAGTCAAGAATATATTTTAACACTTCTTTGAGTTCACTCTTCCTGCAGTTCCATGGAGACAACCTGTTCTGGGCTTTCAAAGATGTTCTTCCACTGAACCTCTTCATCTCTTGGCAAAATGGCATTTGCATTGTTTTGGTTATTCTCATTATATATTACGTGTTTAAACCTGCTTACTTTTGGAAAAAAAAAAAAAAAAACCTGCTTACTTTTGGGAAAAAAAACCTGCTTACTTTTGAACATGCTATCTGATCACACTACTTGACATTTTACTTCTGAACAGCCTATAAAACTATATTTTTATTCTGAAGACTCATTTTCACCCTTTTGTCTCTCATCATATATTTTCCTATTTTTTGGCAGATCACTGTTTCAATTAAGATATCTCAAGAAAGGGCCTGTTATTCACATAAAATGATGTTCAAAACAAAAGTGAAATCTGTTCTATGGGATGATATTGGCAAAAACCTCACTCTAAAAGAATTTATGGATCAGAATGTATTCCTTTTATAATTAAACTTTTTATTAAGTAGAACCTAAGTAGTGAGCACTACTATAAAATCTTTTTCTTTCTTTTTTTTGCTTTTTGCAGATCTGGATAATGTGGAGGGCATTGCTGTGGATTGGATAGGAAATAACCTGTACTGGACAAACGATGGCCACAGGAAGACCATTAATGTGGCCAGGCTAGAAAAGGCTTCTCAGAGTCGGAAGACTCTCTTAGAGGGAGAAATGTCCCACCCCAGAGGGATTGTGGTGGATCCTGTTAGCGGGTATGAGATGTTTGATCAGCTTTATATAAAGAAAATGATGCTAGATAATTTGGTTTTTGCATACCTAAAAGAAGTACATTTTATTCCACATGTGCATTCACATTTCAATGACCTGATTAGGGAAAGTTACTCATTTAATGATTTCCTCTCCTAGAGAATGTGCTAAGTAAACTTACCAAAATGCATTGAACTGATATAGATTATTTGTATTAAGAATATATTTACTTGATTTATTCTGACAAACACCATCATTCTCCATTTTAGATAGACTGACAGCAAGATAAATAATTCAAACCAACAAATCAATTGATTTAACTTATAATTAAAGGCTATTGAAATTTAATGTATTAAAAAAATAGCAACTCTTTGCTATTGTTCATTTACTAAGGACCAGGCATTGTATTAAATAGGTTACTGTGCTCTGTCCATGATTCCCTATAATAATCCTCTGAATTAGTTGCTATTCTCACTCTTGTTTTAGAGAAATTGGTAACAAATCTGCAAAAAGTTTTTGATTATTAAGAAATTGGATAGATATTTAAACCCAAGACTTTATTCAAAACCACTTTACTGCACTACTGTTGATTAGTTTAGATTGGGAATCATATAATTTTAGATATAACCAGTTTTCACATAGTGACATTGTTTTATAATAGTAGGTGCTACTTTCTTTAGAATGGATTATTTTCTGCTATTCATAGGAATATATTTTCCTTATATTTTTGCTCAGAGCTAACCTGAATACAAATAATACTGTACGTATGAAAATATTGGGAAAAAAAGTGAAAATTCCTAATAGAATCTCAGAATGAAATGAATGGTATGCATATTTCACATGTTCAGTTTTTGTCTGTGGTTTTTATCCCCTTCATAGCTTGTATTTCAGTGTTTCACAATAGGATCACAAAATTTATTTTTTATACTGTGTCATATACACACAAAAAATACTTGGCTAGGAAGCACATGACTCACTTGTAATTTGAGATAACCAGATTTCTGTTCCTAAAACTGTATTTGGATTAGCTCCAGATACAATCAGGGTGCTTCTTTCTAGGCTGACCTAATCAGCAGGTGAACTCACTGAATTTTTGTAAGGCATAAGTATAAAGTAATATCGGTGGTTTTCTGTGTGGATTCTTTAAATTTCTATTTTATTCTTGGACTTTTAAAGCAAGTCATCTCTCTGAACTTAAACCAAGGCAATCCTAATATTAAAAGAAAATATTTATTCCACATTTTCTAAATTTCCTTGAGACAAGATGTTTCAAATATATCTTAAAACAAAATCTTCTTTCTCAGTATTCTGTTAGAGGAAAATATTTTCCGATAGAATTAAAGGGTTTTTCAGGTACTCAGGGAAATGACATTGAGCGGAGATTATGGAACCAGATGATTTGGAAGGAAATTCAGAGGTCACTAGTCCTGCATCTCCCTGCAGATTCAGAAATCCATTGTAACACTTCCCTAAGAGGCAAGCATCCAGTTTAGATTTGAAACCTATAGCATGTAAATACATGATTCAAAACATTTAGGGACAAATCTGATATGACATTTTTTCTTTTCATTAAGTCAATATCTGCATCCCAGTAGAACCTATCTACCAGCTAATTCTGTATTTGCCTCTAATGCTGCAAAGAATGACTCTTCTACTTCTCCCATCAGACAGCTTTTTAAGTAGAATACTGCTATCATACACCAACCTAAAAAACAGACATGAACACATATATATGCATGTATGTATACATGGTATACATATGTGTATACACATATACACACATTTTTCTCATAAAAATATACTACACTCAGAGTACTGCACTAGAACTATGGTAGTTAACAAAACAGGCGTAGTCTTAGCCCTCGTGGAGCATTTTGTGTTATCTGCAAACTAGGGAATGGGGAGATGCAATAGTAAATAAGCACCAAGTTAACAATTAATGTAATTTCTAGAGACCAAAGAAATGGAGTCAAACAAGCATGTTAAGGCGAAGGAGACTAACAAAAAACTGTTTAAATAGGTTTGCTGAAAAGTTTCTTTATGGTGTCATCATTTAAGTTGAAACTTTAATAATAGAAGGAACAAGCCGTGGAATGTGAGGGAAAGAGTTCAGATCAAGAAAATGGTAGAGCTGCAGATTTTCAGTGGTTAGAGGGACTGCAGTGAAGACAGTGGGGCTGGCTGTAGATGGCAACTGGGAAAGTTACTGAAGGCACAGTCTTAAAGAAAGCAGGGCCTTGTGTACCATGATGAGAACTTTGTTCTTCAGTGCCAGTGTAAAACAGAGTTGTGATATCATCAATTTATATTAAAAAAGCAAACTAATCTTACTATTCTGTGGTGAATGGATTGGAAGGCAAGTCGAAATAGGACCAACTGAATTTGTATCCAAATAATTGTTTGACCCTAATATAAGTTGTTTCATTTTATTTTTTTAGGAAGATGTGATTTAAGTTTGAAAAGCTCTATTTTAAGTAGCGTAATATAATTTTAAGCAAAACATTTTCAAAAGAACCTGATTTATTCATATTTCTTCTACCATAATACCTTTTGCATTGTACACAAGAAAGCATCACAGATATTCTCTGCCATAATAGCCTATTAACAGAAATTACTCTGTTCAGAACTATGTTCTTATCTAAAACTTCTGAACCAAATTATAGAATTAGTAAAGGATTTATTCATTTATTTCTTTGTTAAAATACATTATTAAGTAACTACTATATAGATCGGTAGAAATCAGTAAGGTGATAAATGTCTTCAAGGATGTTATAAAGCCGTGTGCTTGCTGTAAACACACACACACCCCCCACACAATTTATCTGTAAATTAAAATAGAATTAAATGCATACTTTTTGGGAATTTAGTGAGATTTTTAAAGATTTGTAAAGTTTTAAAGTTCAGATTTGAACTTTAGAGGATGGATAGGATTTCCTAATGAATTTCCTGAAAAGCTTAGAGTTTGGGGTCACAGGTTAGTCACTGTACTCTGAGGGGCAATATGAGTACTTGGTTGGAAGCAGGGGGAGTTAGTGGTGATTTTGAGGTAGATGAGTTCATTAAGGCTAGAGCCGGGGACTTGTGAAGGATCATAGCAGAAGGTGAGACTAAAACTATGCAGAAATCTTCAATGCTGTAATTAAAAGCTTTGACTGATTTTGCTGTCAACAAAACAATTAGAAGGTTTTGAGGATAAATATCACATTTTTTTTTTTTTTTTCAATTCATGACTTAGGAAGACAAGTGAAAGGCATATGACAGGTCTATGAGAAACAACCCATTGGGAGTTTCCTTTGAAGAGTGATGAAAGACAGATGGTAGCATTTGTAATAGCAATAGAAATGTGAGGATTGACACAGGAGACAGTGAAAGAATAGGATTGGCAGGGCTCAACAGTTGTCAAAATGGAAGGAATTAATTATGATTGACTGTTCCTCAAGGTGATGGCTCCATTAACTCCCCCTCTTCCAAACATTTCACACTTCACAATTTATACCAATAACTTAGAAATTTATACCTCCAGTTCTGATTTCTCAAAACATTGTCTCTAGGAAAAGATAAATGCAAAAACAATGCATATATCCCTTCAATCAGGATTTTCTATATCCCTCTCTCAAGTAAGAGCACCACATCCTCTATTTAAAAGCTAGATATTATCTCATCAACTCAATCAAGTTTTAAATCAGTAAAATTTATTTTAGTTCCATGAGAGAAAATCTTATAGATTTAAAATTTGGGGGAATTGACCATCAGATAATACAATTTAAATTGGAGACATGATTAATATCAACAAAACCAAGTTTAATGTTATAGAGTATAAATATGAACAAGAAATAAGCCCTGCCCATAATTATTTGAACTTTTAAACTATTTTGTGTGTTTTTGAATGATCATCTTTGATAATGATTATATGGTTTCACAATGTAACTTTTAATCAGATAATGAAATGGGTAATCACAGAAAAAAATGCATTACTATTATCAAAAGGGAAACCTAGAGGAAAATGTAATTGCAATTTTAACAAGTTGTAAATTAGTAACAACAAAGAACCAAATTGATTAACTGCTTAAAATTTCAGGAAAGATATCAATAGAGATGAAAAAGTTGTCTATTTCTTTTACATAGTTGATTTATATAGTTGAAGTCAAGTAGTTTTACCTAACAAGCCCTGGATTAGAGCACATGAATCTTCTGTTTACTCCTAATTTGTCCCAGTAATAAAGCCACTTCAACAGGCATGATACAAGCTAAGCATAGTGCCATGTTTTATGATTAGAATGTATTTTGACTTGCTAAAGTCACCAATCTAAATGTATTTCCTCAGGTCAAAAAAGGAATATCTGCATAATTATAAACTGTTAAGAGAATTTAAAAAGAGCTTCACTGACATAAAAGAGTGGATGCTGTGTTACATCCTTAGCTGTCCCCAGTCTGCTTGCTTAGATCACAGTAAGATTTTTAGTCATGAACACAGATTAGTCTGAAATTACCTCAGAAATTCTTTGAGATCCAGGACATGAGAGGCAAAGGTATTTAATAAGGGCACTTCCAAGGTTAGCAGCTTAGAAAAGCTTTGAAGCTTTATAAAGTTGTATACAAGATGACAGAATTAAGCCCTACACTTTAATTAGTAACTCAGGAACTTTCACATGACCCCCAAAAATACAACCCATGTGGAGGGGTTTAACCTTATTCATGAGGCAGTTGGAACGTTAGCTCAAAACCCCCTCTCCCATTGTTATAGCTTACACAAAAGATTTGTTTTTAAAGGCAGATGCTTTTGTTTGAGATAGAAATTAAAACTCAAACTCTCAAGGTCAGTCAACCTGCTGTTATTAAACTTATGTGCAGCTCAATCATCTTCTGTGGGTTTGGGGGGTAATAATAAGCAGCAATAAAGCATAGATAATTTGCATCAGGAAGACAAATTAGACCTGGCCAAACAAACCCAGTATGCCTGTGCCCTTTAGAACAAAGACAATCCAACTGCTTGTCTTAAAAAAAAAAAAAAAAGAATAATTTATCTGGGCTTAAATAAAGTCTGGAGTAGATCATTAACTGTGCTATCATTCTCATGCCAGTCAATCTACTATTTAATCATATAATTGATTATATGTTTTATAAATGGCCATTTAAAAATAGCAATGCCTCAAGAATCATTTCACAATCTTGGTATCAACACCCCCCCCCCAAAAAAAAATCAATATTTGGCACTTACTGTTAGGTTAATGAATAAACAAGTCTAGTAAGTACAATAGTAGTGGTTGTGGGTTTTCTGAAATGTGTCTAATTAGACTGGCTTTACTTCACAATTTTTGTTTCATTTTTAATTGAAGGATAATTGCTTTATAGTGGTGTTGGTTTCTGCCTTACAACAACAGGAATCAGTCACAACTGATTCACAACTGAGTCACAACTGATACACAACTGTGTGTATATGTCCCCTCCCATTAGCACCTTCCCCCATTCCCCATCCCCCCCCACTGCACCAATCTTAACTTCCCTGAGTATTTCATAGCTACCTCCTCCTTTGAGCAGATAAGCATTTAGATAGGAGAAAAAATCAGGATGCAATTAATTTTTATGGAGCTGCCAAACCTGAGGTATCATCCCACTATACTGGTGGCCAGTTGAAATAACACACATGCGCTCTGGTTTTTCATGTCTTAGCTGGATGTATTGGACAGACTGGGAGGAAGATGAAATAGATGACAGCGTGGGAAGGATTGAGAAGGCCTGGATGGATGGCTTCAATCGGCAGATTTTTGTGACTTCCAAGATGCTGTGGCCAAACGGTTTAACTCTGGACTTTCACACCCACACATTATACTGGTGTGATGCCTATTATGATCATATTGAGAAAGTGTTTTTGAATGGAACTCACAGGAAGGTAAAAGACAAATGCTGCTGTTTTAACCCACCGGCTTCTTTCACAGAGCCCTGTTGTGTTGTGTTAAAAATACTTTCACATTTATTTTTACCCCTCTGAGGTGGCTGCCAGTAGTCTCTGTGGGGTGGCTGAGGAGGCTGAACATTAAGCTGTGTGGCTGGCACTTGCCTCCGGGAGACCAGGCCCAGCTCACTGTGGTATGCCGGGATTTGGGGGATTTCTAAAAGAATCTCTTAGGCTATCAGAGCTGTTTGAAAATGGGGTTTCTGCATTATTGATGTTTGCTAGGACAAACCAACTCAATTTGGTTCAAATATCTTCAAGTATTTGGAGCTGAAATTTAAGCTATGTAATGTGACAAAATCATTATAATTCACTTACTCAAATAACTTCATAACATTGGAATTGAAATATAAGAGTAAGAGTAGACTGAATTTCAAGTCCATGGATGTGAATAAATATCAACATCTTCTTGGCCCTTTTGGTAGAATCATTGCAAAATGATTTTGAAGTTCTTCTGTGAAACTGAGGATGCCGTTGACTGTGTGAGAGGGTCAACATTGGCAAAATATCACTTCTATATTCTCTCCTATAGTCAGTCACCTCAGTACATATAGCCTTATGACTGTATGGCTTCAATATTTAGCTAAATAGTAGGAAAATGGAATATAAGAAATTACCAAAATGTTTCCTTTGACAATATACTTCCTTCTTTTTTTCAAAAGGGTGTTTGCACAATTGACCAAGCCTATCTACTAAAGATTCTGTTTGAGAAATGTAGTGCATTTATCAGTTAAGACTATTTCAGTCATTGGTTAACTCTAACAATGCCTTAAATATCTTTCCCAAAATAAGTAAGATTGATTTGCATTTAACCTAATGTTACAGACTTAAGAAGTATTAAATCACTACCTTCCATCCACTCCCAGTGTTATAAGACCATGTTGTATCCCTTGGCTATTGGATGAACAATATTGCAAGACACATAATGCTAATTACTCAGATAAGTTTGTATCCCAGAACATCTTACTGTAACATCATAAGAAAAGAGATAGGGAAGAGTATCAAAGTTATTTTAATGTTTGAATTTCTTGACCATATGTATAATTTTGTGTATGAGAGAATTGAAATGGTTGCAATGTATAATGTCCTAAAAACAGGAAAATATGCTCACATTGTGAAATCCATTTTTCAGATATACTGAGAGAAAAGTTTTTAGTTAGATCATTGTTCTACTTATTTGAGTATTCTCTCTAAATATTTGGTTATGGTTCTAAAGGTCAGTTCTGATTTTTCACAATGTGTTTATATTTTACAGATTGTTTACAGTGGGAAAGAGTTGAACCATCCTTTTGGACTGTCGCATCATGGGAATTATGTGTTCTGGACTGATTATATGAATGGTTCCATTTTTCAACTAGATTTGATAACTAATGAGGTGACATTACTGAGGCGTGAAAGACCACCCCTGTTTGGGCTTCAGATTTATGATCCACGAAAGCAACAAGGTATTAAAAACCAGATGAAATTACATCTGAGTTTTACATATAATAGTACTTCACAGAGGTTGCATAAAGATTTTATTTTGACAGTATTGCTGAAGTTTTATGATCAAAGGTGTCTAGTCACTCCAAAGTCAATCAAATCTTAGCCTTTGTTACCATAAAAATTTATTACTTATTGTTCAAAATATCCTGAGTGAGTAACTCTGGGAATTCTATTAGAGTGAAGTTCAAGGTTTTTTCCAGATACTTCCTTTTTCATGTCATTTACACTGGAGAAGACTGCTATTTAAAGTAAAAATCTTCAATGTTTTCAAAGAGTCAGTATTGTGAGAAGTGGAAAACCTTTCAGTGTGGAAGCAACATTATGGGAAAATGTTAAAATATATATATGTATAATATAAGGATAATAGTATTTTTAAAAATATCTTAGTATATTTATCTGATCAATTTCATATACATTTGAGGTATACTAAATAATTATAGATGTTATGAAAGTGAAATAATCTACTCTGATATTCATGTCTTATTAAATCAGATATGATTTGTATATTTTTTAATGTGCATGAGTTATTAATATTTATTAGGCTATCCACAAACAGCATTACTCAGAATTTAGGTAACAAAGAGAGTATCATTTAAACATATACATTACCATATTTAAAATAATGGCTAGTGGGGATATGCTGTATGACTCACGGTGTTGTCTTATTGAAAATATGTGTTCAGCCAAACTGATTGATTATTTTTCATTAACTTAGGAGAAATAATCAATACTTTGAGTTTTCCTCCCAGAGCATACAATAGAAGGTGGAAATGATGCCTGGTCAACATCTTTTTCGGTCAATAGACATTGAAATTAGATAACCTACTTTGAATCTAAATGTGTGATACCTTTTCCTACATTGATAAAGCGTTCAGATTATGAAATAAAATGTTTGCTGGTGTTCAAAAGCAAATATGTTATCATGTTGCAATTTTCTGTCAGTGGTGTCTATCTTTGCATCTTTTGAATGTTAAACAGTAATAAATATTTAGAAACATAATAATCAGTGGCATATAAATTTTGATTAAATACTCTTGATAGACTTTTTTGAAGATAAATTCGTAATAGAGTAGAAAACCAAGTCATACATATCACTAATTCTTCATGGAAGGAAATAAGCTGATCTTATATAGCTTTGTACCTTGTTTCTCTACAGTATATGACTGTATATACTATGAGGTATTTAAAGAGAGGGTTATAAAATTGTTCCATATATCTAATGTAAATGAAAAGGAAAGCTTATATTTATAGTATAGAGAGAGTATATTTATATATGGTATTCATATATGTGCTTATGAGTATATGCATATAAATACATAGATGATAGCTAATATCACACACAACCACAGGAACACCATGAAAAATATTTAAGAATGCTATCAACCACATCTAAACTCTTAGGTGTTAGAAAATTAGTAATCAGGAAAAACTCTTATCAAATTACTTTGCAATATGCCAGTTGATTTCAGAACAATAGATATATAATCATACTAAACAGAAAGTTACATTTAGGAATGAATTTCCAAGTAATTCTTAAGGGCTTATGGTCAAAATGTTTTTATCATATCAAATTGTTTCTTCTCATTTAATTGAAAAGCTTTTTTTCCTTTTCATTTACATTAGCTATCTAGAACAATTTTATAACCCTCTCCTAAAATAATTCATAGGAAGTATAGCATAATACTATAAAACTAAGTATAAAACTAAGTATAAAACTAAGTATAAAACTAACACTCTTTTAGCTTTCTAGTTTCAGAAGTGCACTTGTATTTCCTGCATGTTTAGAGAATGAGATCATTAACTAAGGACAATATTCTTAAAAATGTTGATGAATAATTTCCCATATCAAATTAGAATATATCAGCTTCTATGATAAATATATGAAATTTGTTGTCCAGTCATTAAGTCACATTTGATTCTTTCTAACACTTTAGACTGTAGCCCACCAGGCTCTTCTGTCCATGGAATTTTCCAGGCAAAAATACTGGAATGGGTTCCATTTACTACTCCAGGGGATTTTCCCAATCCAGGGATTGAACCCATGTCTCTTGCATCTTCTTCATTGACAGTCAGATTCTTTACCACCATGCCACCTGGGAAGCCCTAATATCTCCCAGAGTTTGCTCAAATTATTGGCCACTGAGTCAGTGATGCTATCTAACCATCTCATCCTCTGCTGCTCCCTTCTCATGCCCTCGATCTCTCCCAGCATCAGAGTCTTTTACAATGAATTGGCTCTGCTAATCAGGACTGATCTCCTTTAGGATGGACTGGTTGGATCTCCTTGCAGTCCAAGGGACTCTCAAGAGTCTTCTCCAACACCACAGTTCAAAAGCATCAATTCTTTGGTGCTCAGCTTTCTTTATATGTCCAACTCTCACATCCATACATGACCACTGGAAAAACCATAGCCTTGACTAGGCGGACCTTTGTTGACAAAGTGATGTCTCTGCTTTTTAATATGTTGTCTAGGTTGGTCATAACTTTCCTTCCAAGGAGGAAGCGTCTTTTAATTTCTTGGTTACAGTCACAGATGGGACCAGATGCCATGATTTAGTTTTTTGAATCTTGAGTTTTAAGCCAGACTTTTTACTGTCCTCTTTCACCCTCATCAAGAGGCTCATTACTTCCTCTTCACTTTCTGCCATTAGAAAGATATCATTTACATGTGTGAGGTTGTTGATATTTCTCCCAGAAATCTTGATCCCAACTTGTGATTCATCTAGCTGGGCATTTTGCATGATGTACTACTCTGAATATCAGTTAAATAGCAGGTGACAGTATACAGCCTTGTCATACTCCTTTCCCAATTTTGAACCAGTCAATTATCCCACATCTGGTTCTAACTGGTGCTTCTTGACTAAGAAGGTTCAAATCCTAAAGGCACTAAAAATGAGTTCAGAATGGATATTCCCCTCTCCCCACTTCTGAAAGCCTGCTGGCTCTAGTAATTATCTGAGGAGTTGTCAATACTTTTCACCATGACAAGGCTGTGATCCATGATGGGGTTAGGAAATTTACTAACTAATAATCAATTGTGATTATAACTACCAGTAAATGAGCTAAATAGTCTTACTTAAATCTCACAGAAGACATTTAATATAGGTTTTATTAATTTATATTATACATATGAATAATCCAAGAGTCAGGCAGATGTAGCCATTCTCCTCAGAAAACAAGGAGCCAGGGATACATTAGGGTTCAAATTCAAGCTTATCTGACCACAAAATAGTTTTATGTGATTCATTTATGTAGCCATTTTAATTTATGAAAATTATATAGCTACTATATTTTTAGATTGGGAAAGGACTTTTTTTTAATCATTGTAATTTTATCATTATTAAATTTTTATTAAATTAGTTGTTTTTAATATAAAGAGCCCCTGGACTACACATTTATAGCATCGAGGATTCAACAATCTTAGACTACAGTGCACTAGTATATCAGATACACCTTTAAAAATAAATATATTTAATCTGCCTTAAAATGCAAATTATGTGGCAGAGATTATATATATTCTTACTCACATAGAAACAAGATACTTTGTCTTGTTTCAACAGACAAATCTATCCACATACTTGTACCTGGTTTCTACACACACAAATAACTGTTACTGTCATTCATTGCTAACTAGAAGTTTCATTCATTCACTTACACAGTCTGACAGACACTGTAAGGGGTAGAAGAATCCTACTTCTCTTAATTATCAGACTGAGGAAAAAAGGCAATGTTTTTGGTCCAGACAGACCTTACCTTTAGCTTCATTTAAAAAACTATTCGTCATTTGTTTTCCTTGCATATTTCATTTTTTAAAAAGTACTTCCTAAATGATTTAATCTAGAATTTTAGTTTGTTTTCAGTTATTTTTCTGACCCTTATTGATCTAATTTTATTTTTCCATATATAAACAAGTTAGAGTATTAGAGCATAAATTTTAGATTAAAATAAATTCTTATTTTTATATACTTAGAAAATATATGAAAAAAGAAATAATATGACTATTAGTATTATTACCTGGAAATGAATAATAATTTGTGACCTATATCCTTACTTTTATAATGATTATATATATATATATATAAATTTTCTAAATATTAGAGAAGTCATTTAATTCTTTAGATCTTCAGTAGTTTCACCCACAATGAGATGAAACCTATCTTTATAGCTTTATTATAAACTTAAATTAAAATGAAAGTGTATGTAAGGTAACTAACCCTGGGATTGATGAATTATGGATATTCAAAATGAAGCCTATCAATATGTCAATGAGCACTTTTATTGATATTTATGTGTAAAGATTTTATTGCTCTTTACAGTCAGTCATGTTTTCAAGAAAATATTTTTATATGACTACTTTTGCAAGGTATTAACCTTTCAGTAAAGACTATTGTATAAGTCCTATATGGAATATGTTTAAGTGATAAATTCAAAAAAACATTGGGATATGACTAAAATAAAAACATTCTAAGCAGTTCTAATGAGATATGGAATTATTCAAATTAATTTAGGTTTTGAATTTCTATCATGACAGTACAAATACCAGTTTCTCTCTTTCAATATACTGTACTCACAGAAAAGGAATATACTTTAAATCTTGAATATAGTAATTTATTTCTAAATACTTAAATTTAAATTTTATATTCAGTGGCAATAGTAAGTATGAATCATGCTGTTGAATTAATGAGTATGACTTTCAGCATATATTTTTGGTAGGAAAATATAGCCTAATATTGTTTTTAGTACTTTCTTCTTTTCTTACTGCTTTAAATTATTCATATACTTCTCAAAATATTTTGAGTTAATTCTCATTTTCCAGATTCCATATGTTACTAAAATATTCACTATGTAGTTTAATCCTGTACAAAATGTGCATAATGTAGACAGAACACCTAAGCAGCCTATGAAGTATTATATGTTTATTCCATTGTCTTGGAATAAATATGACTAAATCTGGAAGTTGCTTAAAAATGTTCTTTATTCCCTGTTGGAAAAAATCTGAACTGAACTTAACTTCCTTAGCTTTTAAAAATATATATAAATGTGTATATATAGATATTTAATTTTTGCAAATTGAATTTACTTCTCAGAATAATGAGAAAAAAATAATTATACACTTTAGATTTTTTTTCTGATCTGAGGACACAATGATAATCCATGGGAATGAGTTAAGTATTTATTGCATATAGCAATATTTCAAATTTTTTAGCTCATTTATTAATACTCTTCATAGCACATCTAACCCCTGAAGCCCTGAGTATAATGGCCTAGTCTGTCACTTTTGTCACATTTTTGGCACTTGAACTTTAACTGCCAATACAGTTAAATCATCATATTATTGACTATACGTCTCCCAGTAATTAAAAGTCTTAATTTTTAATGTTTGAGTAAAATATTCTGATGTAGTTGAAATGTTATTTATTGATATCTTGGAAAATGTAAGGTGTATACATAGTGTAAAATGATCCTGGCCTTTACACTGCCAGTTGGGCTGCTGGTCTACACATATATATCTCAGAAAAGAGACCTTCTTCCTCATCTTTCCAACTTGTAGAAATAAATAGCATCAAAATGTTGACAACCTCAATTTTACTTACTTTGACGTACACCTTTAGAGAACAGATTCTCCAGCCTCTTCAGAAATTTACCTCAGTTTTATCTGAGTCTCCAAGGGTGCCTCACATATGTTCATGAATAATACCACTATGAATTTCCCTTCAAGCCTGCTTTATTGATAGCTATCGGATGTCTCTTCAGTGCCTCGGCTGTTTCCTCCCTGGGGACAACACTTTACCCTTGTGCATTGTACATTTTCCTGATGCCAGTGAGGCTGCTCATTTTTAAGCCTTCACAGACAGCCTGTGTTCCTTGCATTCCTTAATGCACTGACATGCCAGTGTACTCCTTGCAAAAGAGGAAGGAAAATCTCTCCCATCTCCCCAGTATGTTTGCTTTCTGTTTGGTATTAGTCACTCAGCTATGTCCAACTCTTTTCGACCTCATGGACTGTAGCCTGCCAGGCTTCCCTCTCCATGGGATTTCCCAGGCAAGAATACTGGAGTGGGTTGCCATTCCTTTCTCCAGGGGATCTTCCCAACCTGGGGACTGAACCCAGGTCTGCTTCATTGCAGGTGATTCTTTACCATCTGAGCCCCCAGGGAAACCCTTTCTATTTATTTGAGATTCAAAGGCACATCCATAATGCCTGTCTGTAGTCTACCTTCTGAAGAACTCAAACTTGCCTCTTCTAGGCCTCTTCTAGGAATTTGTCCTGGACAGACACCATTGAATCCACTCTGTCTTTTTCTCTTCTGTTGCCTATCTGCACACAGACCCCTATATCTTCCAAGCAACATGTAAATTCCTTTTGTGTACCAGTGCATCATATATTTTCAAGCCTTTTTTGGATTTCATTTATGAGTCAGCAGCAATCCTGATTACATGAATGTGTCCATGGTATATATGTGTGTACACTTGTATGCCTACAAAACATCTCCTAGAAAGAACATGAACTCCAACTGGCTAACTTTGTGTGGAATCAAGAGTTCTCTGACGTAGTTTCTTCACTCCTCTTGCAGGTGACAATATGTGCCGAGTCAATAATGGTGGCTGTAGTACATTGTGCTTGGCCATCCCAGGAGGCCGAGTATGTGCCTGTGCTGATAATCAACTTTTAGATGAAAATGGGACCAATTGCATATGTAAGTGTCTTTTCATGTTACACTCATGGTTTATTTGTCTTTTTGACGAACAATAGCTGATGAGACCAAAGGAATTAAAATCAAACTTGGAAAGAGAAATTCAGATAATAACTTGGGTATACTTCTTTTTAGACTATAAATAATTAAAGGAATTAATGTCTAATATGCAAATGAATAATGATAATAGTACAGTTTAGCTGAGTGTCCTGGTACTGCTGCATCTATCTTGTGCTGTGCTGTGCTTTGTTCAGTCACTTAGTTGTATCTGACTCTTTGCGACCCCATGGACTGTAGCCCACCAGGCTCTTCTGTTCATGGGGATTCTCTAGGCAAGAATACTGGAGTGGGTTGCCATGCCCTCCTCCAGGGGATCTTCCCAATTCAGGGATCAAACCCAGGTNGTTGTTGTTTGTTTACATCAGAAGAGAAATCTACCAAGACCTATAGTTTGGAAACAGACAGGTATTAAACATTGCTCTGAACAGCAGAAATTCTGTCCAGTTGCCTGGTAGATTAAATCTTATCTTAGTTATTGGGATAAATGGTATGATTCATGTGTATATTTCTCAGTTTGATTTCTAGCATAGATCCTTCTAAGATTATTCTTCTGGTACAAAATGAGATTCTTTGCCACTCTAGCTGGATGACTTTGCCATTAGAACAGATGAAATGCACACACACAGAGGCACATACAGACAAAGATAGTAACCTTTGTGGATCTTCACCGGGTCCATTCCTACCTCTGCCCTGCCCCGAGAATTCCTCTCAAAGATGGAAAGTAGCACTATGCTGTCTCCTTTTCATGGTCGCCACAGACCTTACCGTCAGTACTGGAGGAGCAACGGGCGTTTCATTCTATCTAAAGATAGATGAGCTTATTCAATTTCAAGTGGAATAGCTTAGAGAGGCTTCTCATCGAATATTAAATCTCGTCTTCTTGGTCTTGCAAAAAAGTCAAAATTCAGTAAAGATAGTGTCAATAAAATGATCAAGAGACTGATTTCTTAGTAGTCTTAAGAGTTTTTATTTTTCATCTTTGTTTTTATCATGGGTAATTGGAAGGAAAGTGCATACATCAGGTACTAATAACTAGATGCCTTTTTAAGCTTTAAATGTTCTAATTAGCTCTTTAATTTTAATTGTGTAAATTATAATAATATGTATTATTTACCTCCCTATTTCCTTTATTCTCATGCCCCATTAAAAATTATAGATTCCTTATGTGTTGGCATATTTATACCTATATTGATATTGACATATAAAAGATTTATCACTGGGTTATCTCTGTGTAAATAAAAATTAGGTGACTTTTTGCACAATGTTTGTCATTTAGCTTATATTAAGAGATTTGATATGATAGTTCATATGTGACTATACATCTGCTAAAAGTTAAAAGGACATTTCTGTGAGACTATTGGTGTATTTTAATATTTATAATTCATGGATGAGGTAACCCCAGTTCAATTAAAGGGGATAGAAATAGTATTTTTATCTATAGATGTTACACTGCTGCTAAGTCACTTCAGTTGTGTCCGACTCTGTGTGACCCCATAGACGGCAGCCCACCAGGCTTCCCCGTCCCTGGGATTCTCCAGCAAGAATACTGGAGTGGGTTGCCATTTCCTTCTCCAATGTATGAAAGTGAAAAATGAAAGTGAAGTCACTCAGTCGTGTCCGACTCTTAGCGACCCCATGGACTGCAGCCCACCAGGCTCCTCCGTCCATGGGATTTTCCAGGCAAGAGTACTGGAGTGGGTAACCATTGCCTTCTCCATAGATGTTACATTAAACAATGTTAAATCATAAAAGCAGGTGAGTATTTATTTGAGAATTTGTTATTGCGTTGGAAGTTTAAAATTTTACTAGATTTTTCATATGGCATGAAACTTATCTAGATTCTTTTTTAATGTAATGGGGAAAATTAAGAGAAATACTATAGTAACTAATTTATTGAAAAAAAACTTAAAGTGTGTTTATATAAATTATTCCAGTTTCTGTTCATTTAGTAGCAAATTTTTCATAAAGATATTTTAGCCTTAGTTTGCAGATGAGGAAATTAAAGTCCAAAAAGGACACAAATACATGGAGTTCATGGTTGCAGACTATAAGGCAAAACAAGTATCAGTGAGTCACTAACCTCTCTTTAATGCTCATTCCTCTGGGCTTCTGACTTAGTTTAGACCAGATTACATACTTGTGAACTGATTTCAACTGTAATAACATTTTAACCGGCTTTAAATATAAATCTGTAGCAAAACAAAAAATGCATGTTGCAGCCATTGAGATATGATCTTCACTGAACTGGCATCAAATGAACAAAAACCCATTGGCAGATGGTCAGGCCAGAATTAGACACCAGTAGTTGTTTCTCAATGAACTTGTGCCAGAAAGCAACGCCAGAGGAGGCATTCACCCAACAGAAAAATATTAGTATGCTACATGGTTGATTAAGGATGCATTCTAATGCCATGCCTGGAAGGAATTAAGAATGAGAGTAGGCTGGGCTCTTCATTTTTGTGAACCTTCTTGTGACATGGTCAAATCTTCTTACAATTAGAAATGAGGTCTGGTGGAGTGTAGTAACTGGGAACTTACTGCCCTGTAGAAGCATATATAAAACCAGTTGATCACTGATCAAGTGAGTTTATTTCTTTTAAACTTATCTTGATGACTTTGTAGGGAAAACCAAAACAGAAAATTAATAAATGAGAATATGAGTAATACCAAGAAAGTAAGATAAGCTCCTAAAAAAAATGATAGTCCCTTTTTTTTTTTTTCAAAATAGCATAATAATTTTTTCTAGAGTATTGAGACAGTAGCACAGTAATTATTTAAATGCCTCTTTTGTGGCCTGAAAAAAAAAAGAAAAAGAACAGAACTTTCCAATATGCCTTACCCAAGAGATCAACTTAAACATTGACCAAAATACTGGTCATCCAAGGGTAGCACTGCACAATTATATGTCAGTGGTACTCTGTGACCTTCTTCACCTTCTCGAACACCAGATATATTCTTCTGTCAAAAACAGTGCTCTGCTGTGGCTCAGCCATTTATCTGTTCAGCTGTGACAAGCCTTATGTTCTAGGATATACGCAGTCTAATGCGTAGTAAAAAGTTTAAGGCAGTAAAAAGTTTAGAAGCCTCATCCAGATTAATATTTATGGCCTCCTGTGCATAGGAACTCACAGAAGATTATGTACCACTTAGGTTGGCTGCTCAGAAGATCACTCTATCTAATGAAAGGTCATCCTGCTATGATCTAAAGGAGAAAATTCAAAAACCAGAGCAGCATTTTTCACACTGCCTTCCTATATGGGCAGATTTACACAGAGTCATTCAGCAAACTACAACTTCAAGTTTTCTTTTAGGTTTTTCTCTTCCCCTATTCAAATCANAAAAAAAAAAAAAAGAGTCTGTTGAGCAAATAAACATATCTTAATGTGAAACATACAGGAACAACTGGGAAATTGTATTATATTTTTATCTTAGACTAATGGTTTTATTACTAAGTAATCATAAGTTTGATATAGTCAACAGCAAAACATCAATTGAGAGAGGAGATAAGAGCTAGTTTAGAATAGATTACCACGATGGGATTGAAGAGAAGAAAAACAAAATTAGAAACATAGAAACTTGTTCTTGGGTACCAAAGCTTATTAAACCAAGGTCAGTAACATATGTATTAAGTTCAAACACTGGAAATCCAAATATATGTTTCAAAACTAAAATAATAAAAGGTTCATTAGTACGCTTTCTTCATTTACTTCTTTATAATCTGGACATTGACATTATCAGTCATTCTATCAATTTTTACCGAAGAAAACAGTTAATTCTGGAGTGCATATTTCCCTTGCAGTTTATTAGCAGAGACCTAATTCCACTGCTCTAACAGAAGGTATCATAGGATGCGTGAAAACTGGCAGTTCCTTGCCAGGCATGCCATGATTCATGTCATTTTATTTTCAAGCCTAAATCAAAGGATTGTTTCTTACTTTGTCAGTTTTCTTACCAGTGAGATAATGTTATAATATTTTTACCAAAAGTGACCCTGACAGTAGAATTACAGGTTTTGAATCAGTTTTCAAATTCACAGTGCAAAGTACAACTCTGAAGCTAAGATTGTAAGTATAGTGTCTGTTAATATGATGAAAGCAATTCATGGTTGTGCCTAAATACCCAAGTGCAACATGTGTTCCATCACATTAAGCCTTGGAACAAAGTGACATGGATGGTAGAGCTTTTCCTGTATGTTTTTGGTTATGGGGAGAACTTTATCACTCTTTCTAGTTACGTATCTTTTTTTTTTTTTTTTTTTTCAAAAAAACTCACTCTGTTCATATTCTTGGGTGATAGAACATTAACTGCTGAGCCAGTTGAAGTAGTAGTGTATTTATTGAAGTATTAAAGTATTTATTCAATCTCCAGAGATAGAATATCTCACGGCAATAATGGCTGTAATGTAGAATTATCAGCCTCTGTTAATTCCAGGAAGTCAGGCAACAAATATTTTTGAACATTTCTTCTGTACCTGGTTCTGTTCTAGGCATTTTTTATTCTGTAATATGTGACTTTTTCCTTCATATAGTCAAAAATCTTGTGAAAACACAAGATATGTGAAAATTACTTATAAAATAATGCCTTTGTAGAAGTTTGTGGAAGGTGCACAGAATAATGATCTTATTTTTTATGGAAGCTATTCACTCTCTTAATTGATGCTAGATGTACTTGCTTCATCATCTTGTTGATTTTTGCAAGATTTTGTAGATTGCCTGGCCATCAGCTTGGATTATTTGGTAGATAATGTTGCTACCCAGTTCCACAGGTAGGTGAATGCTAAGAAAAAGACCGCATTTTGGAATGTCTAAATTGTCATCTTATCCATATTATCACCTATCACATTAACTTTTAATGTGATAATGGGCATTGTGGGCACAAAGATGATTTGTCTTTTATCATTATGTCCTGAACAAACCTAGTCAGTATTGATAACAAGATTTTTTGTGATATAACTACTGATTACATCTGAGAGACTTGGGCTAGGGTTGGAGTACATTAATGATGCCAAGTGCCCTGGGAGATATTGTAAATTAGAATTCAATATCTTAAAAAAATCTTTATGATTATTAAAAGTCTGAAAGTTTGCCCACGTTGCCAACTAACATATGAACCCACCAGAGTTTTCACAGGTTTAGAGAGAAGACATGTAATTCCTGGATCAGGCACAAAGGATTTTATTAATCAAAGCAGGTCGCTAAGTTGCACATTCACTTTGGTTCTCCTCGCTCCATCCCACCTCCATGTCATATGAAGACTAGGCCCAGAGAGGCCAGATAGAGGGGGCACACGGAGTGTTTTTGTACCACAGATGAAGAACTCTTGAGCTTAAAATTCTGCTAGAAAATCTACCCAGCCTTTGCTTTGAAGGGAGATATTATCTTTTATTACCCTGGTTAAGGAGCAAATCCGCTCTCTGTTCTAAAAGGAAGCACTTTTTATATCTTCCAAGGCTGTTAGCTGTCTAAACATCCTTGAAAAAATAGTCCAGAATAAAAGCTGACACAAGACATGTAGAAACACCAAGGAGAAATGCCTCTCCAACAAATTATAGGGCTTAGAAGAATTGTAGACAAACTTTTAAATGTCAAAAATATTCATATATGTTTCATATGTGTCATTATAAGTGATGCCTGACTGCTGTTACAAGTGATTACTAATATGTATTAATGACATTGATATAAATCATTATCAGAAGCAGTAAATATGAAAGTTAAATTTTCTCAGGAGGTAGGCTCTACTGTTTTTCAAGCAATTATCCTTAACCTATTATGAAAAATGATAATGTAACCTTTGTAATCTGTGTTTGAAAAGTGCCAACTGTATATGAGCAAGCATCATTTAAAAATAACTGACTACCCACATATATACGAAATTGTGTTTAAAACAAGTTTAGAAATTATTCCTGTTTTCATTCATTCCGTAATGATCTAATTATCAGTTGAAAGCATGTGAACCATAAGTAGACTTAAAGACCTTGTCTCTCAATTGCTTATGTTAAAGAGTACTTAACTTGGAAATATCACTTTTCTAGGGTAGTTTGTCTTTCCCTAGACAGACTAAACTTCTTTAATATAGATATAATTTTTCAGAAGCAAGTATGATTTCACTCTTGTCTGTGGATATTTTTGATCATTCCTTAAAACTGTGAATTAAGTTATTTGATCAAATGATCCTATAAAAACATCTTTTAAACTAGGGAGATTTTTATCAGTTGAAATTAATCATTTCTTGTTTTCTGCAATCTTCAAGCTGTGAGACAACAAAATTGACTATTTCTTTTGACATGATTTAAGAAAATCTTAAACCTGAACTTAAGTAGGGAAGAAAACTGATTATATCTCCAATCAGGTTTCTTGTCCCATAGGGAGGAAAAAAAAATTAATTCTGGGAGACTAGTGACCATTAGGCTTAATAATTATGAAGTGGAAATTAATCAAGCTACTAGTTCCAGTTCTAAGTTGGGCTGATATAGAGTCAAAAGAAGGAACTATATCACCCACAAAGATCTTAAGATCTTACTGAGCAGACAAAGTTCAAAATAAGGGGAATTTGCATGCTGTCAGTGATCAGTTTTAGAGATTCTGAGAGAAAAGCTAGATCCTAGAGATGGTCAGACACATCCCACATTATACCTCCATTTTGTCATGATTCCCATCCTCATTCCTAGTTGCTGCTATAAAAAGTGGAGGTGGGAGGGGGGACCGGAATGGGGAATGCATGTAAATCCATGGCTAATTCATTTCAATGTATGACAAAAACCACTGCAATGATGTAAAGTAATTAGCCTCCAACTAATAAAAATAAATGAAAAAAAAATAAAAATAAAAAAGTCATTTAATTTTGGAAAAAAAAAAAAAGTTACCCTGGGATTGAATAGGAGACCCAATGACCTCCCATTTTTGTTTTTATTTATTGTCATTTCCTTGAGATGTGTTCTCTTTTTTTCTTGCTCTCTTTATATGTGTGTGTGTGTGTGTGTGTGTGTGTGTGTGTGTGTGGTCATGCCTAGTGGCTCAGTGGTAAAGAATGTTCCTGCCAATGCAAGAGATGCAGGTATAATCCTTGGCTGGAAAGATTCCCCCAGAGAAGGGAATGACAACCCACTCCAGTATTCTTGCCTGGAAAATCCCATGGACAGAGGAGCCTGGTGGGATACAGTCCATGGGGTTACAAAAGAGTTGGACACACACAAAACAACTACACACACACACACACACACACACACAATATACACACATGCATGCATATGCATGCATATATATATATACATTTAAATGAATATGTACCTATATATTCTTTTAAAAATTGTTACTTTCAAGTGACTTTATGCAATGGCAGCATTAAAGAAATTACCTGTTCTGCATTTCGTTATTGAGAAAGATTAAACAAGGAGGAAAAATTACGGTTAGGTCTTAGATACAGAGTCTGCTTTTGTGAGAGGAAAGAGCAAACACACAGGATTACCTTTGATCTCAGTGAATATTTCATTCACCACACTGATTATATTTTTCACCCTTAAGACCTTAATTTTTTTTAAAAAAACCTTAAATGAGAACCTGGATTATATGGGACAGTTCTCCGTTCTCTACCCCATGCACCCACATGCCTTGTGTCTTGTTGCATAACTCTCTGAAGCAGCTTCTTTGCAGCTATGGTTCAGTGCTGTTTCCTCTTCCATTCTCTGCATCAGGAAAAATACAAGGGTTAAAGGAGTGAAACACAAGTGTTCTGGAAATGCCATGTATGTTTTCTCAATACCCCTTATTATTGAAGTCCATATAGGTTTCGTGACAGTTCATCGATGTGAACCAGCTACCTCAAATAAAATTTAAAGCCGTTAGATCTAGAATGGAAAAACTTTCTTCTAGTAATAAGCCACTTTTGATCACTCAATGTCTTTTTCAGTCAATGAAATACAGATCATTTACTTTAGCTGTCACCACATTCCCTTCAGTTTTTAGTTTAGATTCTATTGAATCCACTCAGAGAAGTGTAGTAGCCCTTTCAATATGTGAATAAACCCCAATTAATGGGATTTCTGACATTTGATTAGAGAATATGGAATATATGATAAAAACACTCTAAAGAATCAGGATGTATAATGAGATTGTTTTGGTTAACTTAAAATTTCCATAAATATTTAACCAGATCTGTTTATTTCTTTTTTTGCACTTTCAGACCAGTGAAATAAATATAACCATCAATGCTATGTGCCATTCCCTTGTCTTTTCACTTTAGTTTTTGATGTATTTATGTGTGAAAAGTGAAAGTGTTAGTAGCTTGGTCATGTCTGACTCTAAAGGTGGAGGTAATAAAATTCTTTGCCATGCCTTCAGTTAAGCTTCTGAATGAAAGTTCTTTAAAAAGTAAAACTACAAACAAAAAAAAAATATAAGATAGTATTTTATCATTGTTTTTATTATTATTTTGGTGACATTTGCTTAAAATGAATCTCCACAATTCTTGCTGAATAATTATTGTTGGAAAAACTTAAAATTTTCTCATTTCCAGGGATGGTTGCCTCTATAATGCTTTCATTATTTTCTGTGAAATGCATGCAATCAATGTAATGATTATACAAAATTATCTTTTAATGAATTGAAAATACCCAGTATTGCTTATATACCTTGTTCGTTTGTTTTTTAAACCCTAGTTAATCCTGGAGAAGTACTGCCTCAGATATGTAAAGCTGGAGAATTCCGCTGCAGAAACAGACACTGTATCCAAGCTCGGTGGAAATGTGATGGCGATGATGACTGTCTGGATGGAAGTGATGAAGATTCAGTCAGTTGCTGTAGGTTCTCCTACAGTTTATATTAAAATTTGCCGAGTTTTTCAGTGTGTGAACTATTAAAGCAGTCTGGGGAGAATATCTAAAATTATCATTGATGCAAATTGAACTTTGTTGTTTTTTTTTTTCCCCCAGACATCGTTTTGTATAGACATTAGAGCTAAGTGACCTTCTTTGTATACCTTTAAAGCACTGTTTTTCTCATCCTTCACCATCTTTGAATATTACCATTTTGGTTGCTTCAGAACTTCTCTTCTTTTCTGTATTGTACCATACCATTGTTAGAAGGTTGCTCTAGGAGACCCCTTTGGATCTCTGAATTTAAAGATGTGAAAAATCAATTTAAGCTCCCCCAAGGCAGAATTTCTCATAAAGGAGGTCACGATCCACTCCATTGCTCCTTGGCAACAGAGCCTTGGAGATGGTCCAAGGAAACAGACATGTGTTTGGAACATGTTATTACCTAACTTCACTGGCTCAGTTCATAGCAGGAGACACATATGGGGCACTCAGATTATTAAGGAAGTTAAAAGTTTGATTTCTCCCCTTGCCTTTTATTTAGCTCTTCATCATTTGTTGCAATAGGAATAGTTTCATGTTTCATGTAGGGATCAGGGAATGACCCACAAATGTAGAGGAAAACAATTTGAGAAGCAGATTCAGTAAACTTTTGGAAATATATTTGATTCGAATCACTACCTTAGTGGTGTTGAAAGATATAAAATATTTTATATGGAGAGAGGTATATGTTGGACATATTTATCTTTAGTCTTTTCATTTGACTTAGATACATTATTTTTAAAAAGAAAATGATCATTTTTCAATTAGTGACTTTTAGGTTAAAGTGGCTGAACTGATTTAGAGTTAATCGGCAATCCTCCATTTTCCTTTTTTAAAAAATCAAGAATATAAAGATGACGTTTTAAAGATTCTTTGTTAAGAATGAACAAAATTGGTCTGAGCACCTGTAATATGAATTTGGGCACAAATTCTAAAAATGTGGACTTTAAAAAGTATTTTCAAAGTTTATAAAATATATAATAAAATATATTTAATTAATATGTAAGTATAGCACTACTTTCTCTTCATTTCCAAACATTCAACATTATGTACTTCTTATTTTCAATCCTATTAATATTAATATTTATACTCTAAAGCATGCCACAAATAAAATGTTAAATATTAAATTGATACAACCAGCCAAAAGTTTTGCAGTGGGAAGAGCATTTCATCTAAAGACAAAGGGTGTTTTCTTCCCCTTCTTTTTAACACAAACAATATGTTATTTATTGATTAGATTGCCTCATTCTTCATGACTCATAATGTTAATTCATGGTTGCAGTGAATGCTTCCTATGTATCAACTTCCTGCATAGTCACAGTGCTCATGCAGAGCAGAGATATTTCATCACAGAATTTAGGAATTAATCCTATAGGTTCATGTTCTGTTTGATTGTTTTATTCACCAACTCACAAGCTAATTTCCTCCAAGAGTATAAGCAACTTTACATTTGCACTGTTAACTGTAGTATTAAAATTCCTAGTCTATATTGTTCATTTTTTTAGCACTTATTTATCCCCTCATCTAAGCCTACACCATGGGCTTTTCCTGGCATCTTCTATTTTATGTATGGTTGGTGGCAGTTTAGTCACTAAGTCATGTCTGACTCTTGCGACCCCATGGACTATAGCCTGCTGGGCTCCTCTGTCCATGGGATTCTCCAGTCAAGAATACTGGAGTGGGTGGCCATTTCCTTCTCCAATTTTATATAGTCCATATTCAATTCTAGTCTTTCACTAGTCTTCCCTTAACTAAAGCCCACTTACCATACTTCTTCCAGATTAATAGCAATGTAATCTTGTTACTTCAATAACTGGATAATCAGCAAGTTAAATTCTGAAATCCATTGACTCTCATATAAAGTACTTCATGTTATGTCTGATGTTTACATTTTTGGCTTTAAATGTCTATCATGTTTCTACTTACCTTCTTTGTCTTTATCAAGTTGAACTACTTATAAATCTCTAAAAATTTTCTTTTCCTTCTCTTTTTGTCTTCTGTGACATTGCATTCTCTGTTCCCAGTTATGAATTTCACCCTAGTTTACCACCATCTCCACAGGGAAGTCTTTTTTTGTATGCTAGTGATCTCTTTTCTCAGTACAGCCCACTTTGAGCTAAATGTCTCTTGGATATTGTTTTATTATGGTATTTGCCAAACCATATTGCAACTATATGCTTATTTATTTGATGCATCCAATAGGTGAATATGAGGGGACACATTAATTTGTAGCATTTTTGTGGTCTCAGTGTCTAGCACAGCAGCTAGCACGTGGATGAATGAATGACTCAATCAGAGGGGCAAAGTAAAATTAAACATCTCTGCTCACCTTCTAGTAATATGGTGTCTTCTCTAAACATTGCAATGATTCTAAGTGGCATTATATTCCTGGGGTCCTGTAGTTAATATATCAGCACTGCATAATTCATTTCAGGAGTTTATTTTAGATCGCAAGTACTCATAAGCTTCATCCTTGAATTCTGTTATCATTTTGCTTCTCAACTCCAAATCACAAGACAAATGGATTGTATTTGGCCCTCCTTTTTAACCTCACATTCATAATATTGTGAAAATAGCAAAGGTTTCTGATCAAGCTTCACTGAAGTGCTTATGCATAATGTTAGTACTTGAAAATGTTGACCCTCTAATATATTGGATGACTTTTATCCTCCTGAGCAGCTATTCTTGTTAAAGTCACTAAAGTGAATAGAAAATGTTAATCACACGTAAATACCAGAAAACAGAAGACCTTTTCCTCACATTTATTTACTATGCACAAAAGAGAACTTCTGAAAAGTGATCAAAACTGCTTCATCACTATGACTACTTTAAATAAATAGTGTTTTGTAGAAACTAACTAGAAAGGAATACATTTGCTATGCAACAGTATGATAAAAATTGCCTATTTTTTCAAATTCTAAATAAAACTCATACAAACATATATTTTTATCATACAGAAGTGCAACTACAGGGCACAAAGAAAATTATTTCAGAAAGAATGTTGAAATTATGAAGCAGATACTGAAGAGCATGCCAAATCAGTTAGGAATTTAGACTCCAGAATGCAGGGGGAAAAAATCACAGGAGGTAAAATTTAAATGGCCTCCTGTTGTGCTTAGATATTAGATGTTTAATCCTTAGCTGTGGTCAGCTTCCCTTAGAGGCTTGGTCATGTCCTCAGTATATTTTGTGGCTTCACATTTATTTGTTTGTATTAGGGGAAAAGACTCATGATGATTATTTTCATTATTAAAATTACTCAGAATCTCCTATTTAGCACCAACTCCAGGTACCAAGTAATGTATTTTTCTCTTTAGAATTTTCCTTCTAGCCCCAGGAAACATTGAGCAAAACATAACACAATCAAGCTTATTTAATGTTTCAAGAAGTACTTGTGTAGATGTATGATTTTTTAAAAAGTATTTTTAATATATGATTAAGTTATTTCATACATACTTGCTATGTTCCACATTAGCATTTGAGGTTAACTCTATGTTTTTGGTAAAAAAATCTGAAGCTAAATCACCTATTGTGATTAGGGATGAGAAAAGAGACACATATTAGTTGGTTTTACTGAAGATTTAAAAAACGAATATATTTCCTTGTATATGAACTTGAATTCCTTGATCTTTTCTATACAACTACTACATTTTAACACAGCCTAGTATATTATTATTTGGTATAAAATAGGAGACACTGAATGACAGAAGATATAGATCAATTGTACTATAATATAATTACCATACATTTTCCATATCTTTCCCTTAAAATAATCATAATTTTATCTAGTTTGAAATTATTAAATTTGCTTCTCCTCTCCTCCCCCTTCCCACCCCAGACAATCATAGCTGTCCTGATGATCAATTTAAATGCAAGAATAATCGCTGTATCCCCAAGAGATGGCTTTGTGATGGAGCTAATGATTGTGGGAGCAATGAAGATGAATCCAATCAAACATGTTCAGGTAAAGGTTTGCTTGGATGTATATGTAAATCTCTTCCACATTTAGTCTTCATAAAGATGCCTGAAACTAAACTGAACTTTCCTAGTGCTGATGATCTGATTATTGCAATAGCAAATGAATTTAGAGTTCGATGCCACAAAGGTTAGGATACAAATTATCTTTTACTTATTCTTTGGGTATCACTCTGCTTTTCAAAGGAATTTGGCGTATTATCCATGCAGGTTGACTGTCAATACACCACTTGGATAAAACTTGTCCCTGCTAAATTTTACTTGGCAATGGAGGGAGAGGTTTGTGAGTATACTATGATTTAGGCTATCCTACAAGGAGAATTATTATTTTTTTTTAACTTTGAAACAATAATTTATATGCTTTTATTTAGTCTTCTGTAGAATATCTCTGTAAATAGGTTTCTGTTCCTGGCACACTATTCATGTGTGTGTTTTTTTTTTTTTAAATAAAATCCCAAGTCCACCAAGCCTACTTATATTTCCATATAATTTATTTTATTGCAATAAATCTTTGAATCCTTAGCTAGATTTTCATTGAATGGGAATATACAGCTCATGGTATACACTGCAGCAGAAGGCCAAAAAAGATCATTCTTAATCAGATAAGTGTTGAAAAATGATCCTGACTAGCAGCTGCCTAGTGCTTCTCTTTAAACAATGACAAAAAAATAAACAATAAACAATGGCAAAAAGTCGTATATTTAGTGACTCTTATTAATATGATCAGTATTTTTTTAATCATTACATATACTGTTAAAATCTATCAACCACCTCACCTTTTCTCTTTGCCAAAATAAGCCATACTAAATACAAATTATTATAATGTATTAGTGAAAACTACAATGGCATCACATAGCGAAAAGACCAAGAGGTCAAGAAGCCTGGTTTGTACTTTGGATTTTGAAACTGGCATTCTTGGAAAGACTTGTGCCTCTCTGTACCTCAATTTCCACATTTATTACTTTCAACTCTGTAGAAGTATAAGTTTTCCAGAGCTTTGCACCATGTACTAAATAACAGCAACAAGAATGAAACAGTCACCATTCTGTAGTCCTAGCCTCCACTTTATATTCTTTTTTTTCCCCATGGTGACATATTTACTGAGGATCCATGGGCTAGTCATTCTCCTGTCCCTTGATTAAAAGCTCGGCCTACTCTTTTAGAGCAACTGGTTATTTTCAAGATATTCTGTGTCTTTCGTAAGGGTGTTTTGCCAAAAGCTATCTAACAAAAAGGGGCCTTTAGAGACCAATTGGGCCTAGGCTCCTGCCTTCAAGATCATTCTTTTCATAGATGAGGTGGAAGAAGAGATTTGCCTTAACTCATATCATTGGTGAGGATTTAGGAAAACTCACTTCATCTCTCTCCAGGGCCCTTGCTTTTTTTTTTTTTTTTACCAAACTATATTTTCTGGAGGATTAGCTAGAATTATAGACATGACCAATTTAATGTTTCCCAGGTTGCTCTTAGGATATGACTGTAATTTACAATGGAGCATCTTTCTAAATTAGTGCAATTATTATTATTTTAGATTAAGATTCAACTCAGGGACTATATAGTATTATATCCTAAACAGATAGATCTGCTTTCACCTTAAATTAACAGGCATTGCTGTCTCAATTCATAATACCATGTCTTCTTCATTTCTATTTGATTTTTAAAAATTTGCTTGTTTCTACATGATTTTTAAAGAAGGATTTGGGATTGATCAGCTGCTTACATAGAAAAAGTGAAAATGTTATGTATAAGAGCAAATAAAAAAATTAATTCTGATTAGTAAGATTTCTAAGACACTCCAGGCTTCTAGAAAATAGAATGCCACTTGCTTGCGCCTCAAGTGCTATTTTAAGTGACAGCAGCTGAAGTCTGCAACTCACTGTTAGGTCTTCTTGACATATTTATGGTAGCTATTATGGTCACCTTATGTCTTTCTGATTGAAAAAAAATACAAAGAAAAAAATAAATATGGCTTTTAGCTTTGAAAACTATGCTGTCATGTTACAATGTATTTCCATTTTGTTTTACCAAAATGAATAGGTCATACCTCTCACTATCTTGGAAAAATATGGCAAATTCATTAAATGATTTTCCTGGTTGAGTTATTTCTCTACATTTCTAGATATAGATGTATGCATGGATATGTATCCTAGATAAAATATTACTCCTATGGGGATTATTTTGTAATTAAATCCACTATCTTGTAGCCTTTAGCAATGTGACTATATCTAAACGAAAATTCTTTCCTATAACAAACCAATTTCATATTATTTTTCTTTGGGATTTCTCCTCAGTGGATCTACTAATTCAATAAATATCTATCACAGCATTGAAGATAGAATGAGGAAAAATACACAGTAATTTCTTTAAGAAGTTATGAGATAAGATGAAGAGAAAGACATTCAAACAGTTCATTCACATAGAACTAAGTTGACCCTCAAATGGGAGCACAAAAAGGACTGCTAATTAACCTTTGGCTCTCCTGGGAGGTCTACTAGAGGAGGGGTTGTCTAAACTAAGCCTTACCAAAATTAAATAAATAAATAAGAAAAATGTCTAAATAACAGTTTAAATCATTTAATTAGAAAATATAATCTGTTACGACCATGTGGTATTCACAATTAAAATGAAAAATTAGAACTCAAATATCAACAGAAATTTCAAAAACAGTGTTAACTCAAAATCTTGTAACAATAAGCAATTTAGTGCCATTCATATGAAATATAAAAATACAAAAATGTTCTATATGTGCTTATTGATTAACAAATATATAAAAATAGGAATAGAATATAGAGATTTTAAAAAAAGCAAAAACTAAGGATAACAATTACCTCTATGAAAGAGAAAGGGAAATGTTATTGGGAAAGATTACATAGGGGACTTCAAATGTAAGTATAGTACTTTTATTTAAATTAAAATCTGTAGCAAATATAGAAAAAATTAAGATTTGATAGTTCTACAAGAAGACAAACAGATGTTAATGGTATTTCTTATACTTTTCTAAGTGATGGAAATATTTGACTGAAAGAAATAAATGAGTGATTGGAGAGCATAGATTGTGGAGAGTGAAGTCGTTAGAGGGTAGGGGGCGGTCGGAGAGAGAGCCTGGAAGCGAAAAGGGGTACACAAAGGGGGCAGAACAGAGCTGAAAGTCAGGGCTTGGGAGTTGCTTTTCATCACCAACAACAAAACATAGTTTTGTGTGCTTTTGAGGGAGACCTAGAGGCCAAAGATGAGAAGTAGTTAGATTACAAAAAAAAAAGTTTCCCTATAGTAACCATGATGATCCTTGGCTTCAAGCCTAGACAATGTCAGTTCAGTTCAGTTCAATTCAGTTCAGTCGCTCAGTCGTGTCCGACTCCTTGCGACCCCTTGAATCACAGCATACCAGGCCTCCCTGTCCATCACTAACTCCCGGAGTATACTCAAACTCATGTCCATCGAATCGGTGATGCCATCAACCCAGGCAATGTCAGACCAGCTTTTTCCCACAGCATAGAGCTCTGGTTCAATTACATAATATTTGTTCTCATATCCCCCACAAATTTTAACTAGATTCAAACTAGACAAATAGGATTGCATTAAGGAAACCTGATATATTTTTAAAAATCAGAATTTCTTTTGCAAGATATTGAAGAGTATATTTACATATGACATAGATTTTGTTTAAATAGAATGCTTTGATACAGTGCAGGTAAAGTTTAGAAACAATGTATCAAGCTCTGTCCTCCTCCGCTCCTTGCTGCTCCTGTGCACTGTGGGATTTCTCACTGCTACATGACTGCAGGGGAAGCATCCTTAGTGATGGGTAGAAAAAATTCACATTTTGACAGTGAATTTCTGATTCACTGCTAAATAAACAGTTCCACTGAGGAGGTGTAAATTTCCTCTTCATTAGAGCAGAATTTGCTACAAAATTAGAGTCCTCAGGGGCTGCTCTACCAATCTCACCTCCAAACTAATTTAGAATTAATGGAGACAAGAACTGAGAAAGTCAAGGTTGTGTCTTCTTGATGCAAATCTAGTGAGTTAAAAGGTGATAATTTAGTCAATCTGATTATATCATATAGACAGTACTTGTAGACTTATGGAATGAAGCATTTTTCTTATCTCAAAATCTGTTAAATTTGCCTGGTAGACTAAGGAGATTATTTTCTCCATGATTAGAAAAGACAATGAATTCATATATTTTCAGGGCATAGTGTCCTTTTATCATAAGCCAGTAATTATTCTTTGAAATAAAGAGTCATAGCAGTTGTTCGGGTTTCCTAGTTAATGATGTGATACACAAATTCCCATCACAATGTGAGATGTATCCTACGTGATGTGAGATAGGCATCTAGGAGTCCTTTCTCATTCTCCTCTCTAATCATTAGAGCAGTACTGGTGAAAGAAGAGAATTGGAGAAAACTGGTTAGAATTAAACATGAATGACTAGGAGAGTGACACCAGAATTAAAAGGAAAAACATTGTATTGGAGATTATAATATAATCTCATTATGGGTCAATTAGAAGATTTAATGGAGATGAAAATATGTGATAATATCTTTTTTCCTTCAAAGGAAGAAAGCTGATAATATGTCTCATAGCTCTGTGCCTTCCTCTTCCCACCAAGTTAACTAATGCCAACATCTTCACACTTCTTTAGGCTAATAAAAATGTGGTTTTATTAAAAATTACCTAGTGCTGACTTAAAAAATGCACAATGTGAGAGTTGCAACTTAAGTTTCATTTGGGGGAAAATGAGGACTGCGTCTTGGGAGACAGCACCTCAGATAGCTCTGAGAAACTGCTCCAAAGAGGCAAAGTGGAAAGATCAGTATATAGGTGATTTTGGTGAAGGGAGAATACATGTAATCAAGCACATATTTTTTCCAAAATGTTTCTACTAGTCTCATGAAGCTTTTGCTAGTCCAGAGAAGCAGTCATCATGGATTTTAGTGGTTTTCTAGATATGAGGAGATACAAGAGTTGGATTCATAAAATTGGCTCCTGAAAATGTCTAACCATCCAAACACCTATCTGCCAGTTTTCCCCCGAGCACAGCGGGCCCTATTTCTGATCTCTACCCTGAGCTCCTTTCATGGGGTGTTGAAGGTCAGCAGCTGCAGCAGCACATGAATTAATCCTTGTAGAGGTAGATGGCAAGTGCCAAGTTGTAGTTGACACTAGGAACATTGTTGATTTACTCTAAATGTTAGAGTAATTTTACAGAAAATTCATAAGGTTAGCAAAATAAAGTAATGTAGGAATATTAAATCTTACTTTAAACTTTGAACATTGAAAACTTCAGAATCATACTTGTTTGTTGGGCTATTTAAAGTCTATTAATCTAAAACATCTTACTTGTAAAAAAGGAAAAATCATATATGGCATAATGTATTTTAGATTCAGCACCCTTATCCACATAATCAAAGCCAAATACAGTGCAACACTTTTCTCGGTCTTTCTAATTAGAGACACTGAGAATAGCAATACTATATCCAATCTAAGAAATCAAATCAGAATGTTTCATTTGTTTTTTCTCAAGTAATCTTCTAAATATTCACCAATAATGGATATACATCTTTACAGAGCAAGTGCAGTTTTCTTAAAGAAAATTACTAGTATATGACTTTCCAGAAAGCATTTTAAATGGCTTCTGAAGCTCTGAATTATGGAAACCCATTGTAGTGTGTTTGGATGACTTTGAACCACACTTTATTTTATACAAGTCATTAGTATTAAAGTTCACAGGTTGTTCTGATGAAATAGGAACACACCAGTCTGCTTCTCAAGCTCAGGAAACAAGGGGATGTCTATAAACCAAGAATGTTCTCAAGACATAGCCACAGGAACTCGAACTCTAATTGTTCCTCAACTGTCAAATCTTCATCTAACACAAATGTTAATAGGTCTGAGTGTCTGCTTCCCAATTTCCCCACTCCTTCCTTTTGTCTAATTAAAAGGAATGCTGGTGTACTTATAACATAGGAAAACAGATTTGTAGTTCAGAGTGACAAAAGGGAAAATAAAATCAAGCATTTAAAAATAAGTATGTGACAAACTAAGACCTGGAAGAAGAATAAGGAAGCTATCTAGACTTTCATGCTTTCAAAAGTTGATCTTATTATAATAGAAAAAGGCAATCAAACGCCTTGTAGAACATAACCTCTTTACAGAATGATTTTGAACCACTGCCCTTGGCTAGAAAGCAAGATTTCCTGTGTGTATTCCTTGAAACCCTTAAGAGAGCTCAAAGCAAAGTTCATTAATATACTTTGATTGAAAAGTTATACATTTCTATATCACTACACTTAAAGTAAATTTAAAAAATCCATTGTAAGGCTAAATGTATATTTTTAGAAAATATTTCCTGCATTCTTGATCCATACTTGAACTCATTTGTAGATCAAAAATAAATACATTGGAAACATTATAGGACAAAGACAATTTTGACCCCATAATTAGAAACCAGTTACCCTGATATCTCCAAATCCTGCCTCCTTCATTACAGCAAGTTTCTTGGCTTATTGTCCAAGGCTAAGCAAAATAATTTTTTGTTAATTAAAAGTTAGAGGAAATTTAATTCAGTCATATATTCATCAACATGTGCCAGACAAAAATTGTAAAATAATGAATTCACAGCTTCATTTATGAACATGTGTGAGGATTACAGAATATCTTGTCACTTAGCATTCATTTAATTGAAGGGCAGAGCAAGTGAACTTTAGAAAAGGCAGACAAGGTGGCATTATCAAAATTTTAATAAAAATTTAATTTAAAATTATTTTATCTAATAGAGCAATTTAATATCTTATGTATAAAAGTTATTGCATGATTTATTTAATCCTTGATATTATTCAAAAGATCTCTAAATTTATCCTCTGTGCATTAATTGGTCACCTTAGCCAGGACATGCCACGTGGACCAGTTTTCTTGCGGAAACGGGCGCTGCATTCCCAGAGCATGGCTGTGTGACCGGGAAGATGACTGTGGGGATCAGACAGACGAAATAGCATCTTGTGGTAAGTTGTGAGCTTTCAAGCTGTTATTGGAGACTGTGTCAGACAGAAGATTCTATCACTATCATCTCTATTAAAAGGCTGTTTATTTCTTTATAAATACAAGTCGACAAGGCAGAAGATGTTACTTGTTAAGACTGCCTTTTGGGCCTGAATGCATACTTTAATGATAACTGCAGAATGTATCCCTATCACGAGGCACTAGCCATATCATTGGCTAAAATAGATGGATCTGAACATTGCAGACTTTAGTAGGAAGTGATTATTGTAAGGCTAACAGGACATTCTCAAATGTTCATTATTAATCTTATGTATATAATGATTAAATTTTTCAAACAGAATAGCTCATCCAGTGACATGTGGAGTAATGAGGAGGACATGCTTCTTATTTGTATGCATATGTTACACTGTTGGAGCAATACACTATACAGGCTGAGAATACACAGTTGATAAGCCATTTGTTTCATTTCTAAAGAGTTGTATCATTTTGAAGGACAAAATTTTTATTAGTTGAAAGCATTTCTTAAAGGCAAAATTCCTATTATTACATAAAGTTGCAAATTTAATTACACCCATTTGTACCCATATATCAGTAGGCCATATTATCATTTGTGTACTAAAACACAATAAGGAAATAAACCAGTTTTCTAAGTCTTCCACTTTATTTCAGTCATGGCTTTGGATATTTTAAATTACTATGGGACAGCATAAATTAGACATGTGTAGCACATTTATTAAAGTAGAATACAGCTAGGTATGTATTTTTAATATTTTGACTCCATGTTATAGTAGTTCTACCAGTAGAGAAATAAGGAGATGTTTTTCTAACTCCTCAATTCAAATGGTTCTGTTTAGCATGTGCACTCTCTGTTTACTTAAAATTTTTCTTTTTAATTTTTTTATATCACACTAAGTCCCTATAAATATTTGAATTTATAACCTCTCAAAAAAATCTAGATAAAGTAAGTATTAATCATTGGCAATTGACTTTCCACAGAAGACAGTAGACATACTAAAAGAAAAAAAAAAGGGCAAATAGAGAATTCTATAATTGTATATTTTACATGTAGAATTTCTGAGGGCTGGCCAGTTAAGGGGATTGAGTAGTGTATTTTCTCTCCTTTCCAATGTCCAGACTAGTCATGTGGCTGGGTCTGCTTCTAGAAGGCTCTACTTTTAGAAAAACTTAAATTCTTTTCTGCTCTTAGCATCTCCATCCAGAATATCCCAGAAAGATAATGAGCAACCTGAAAACATTAAATACAGAGAAAATCTGGAGTTAGAATCCCAAGTCAGAAAAGAAATGCCATGAAAAACAGACTAGGAAATTTGTGATGAGCTCTTTAGAGTATTTTGATCAGGACTTTGAGCTGACTTATTTTTAGTAATGGATCTAGTGTAATATATTTTTCTTTATTTTAGTAATTTGAATCAAAAGAGAAGAATCCCTAAAATTTCAATAATAATGAAAATAATCATGCCAGCAAACTAACAAACTTTTCATGAGGTGAGTGGACAAAAAGTGTCAGGAGTCCAGACACATATTTTCCTACTGAATCTTTACAACAAATCTACTGGAAGTATATTACTCTCCACATTTTACAGTTAAGAGAATCAAAATTTAAAGTCATGAATAACATGTGTGAGATAACAAAATGAATAAATAACAGGACCAGACCATGAATCCAACTATGCTTGAAACTAAAACTCAACCATTTCAGTGAACTTGGTTTGGAAGCCAAGGATAGGGTGCAGATAGGGGGCATTATGGTGGTTTAGTCACTAAGTCATATCCAATTTTTGCAACCCATGGACTCTAGCCTGCCAGACTCCTCTGTCCGTGGGATTCTCCAGGCAAGAATACTGGAATAGATTGCCATTTCCTTCTCCAGGGATCTTCCCGACCTGGAATTGAACCCAGGTCCCCTGCATTGCAGGCAGATTCTTTATAGACTGAGCTACTAGGGAAGTTAATGCCATTATACATATCCATAACTATCTGATTTAAATGCACAAACACCTGTATGGAATTTTATTCATCTGTGTGTTGATAAATCAACATATCTTAGTGGAGAGGAGCCTCAAACCAGTGTTTGCTTATTTTTATGGTGTAAATACTCCACTGGCCAATATCAATTTGACAGTATGACTCTCTGAATGTGGAGGAGAACATGTACGTAACAATATGCAGTATTTCCATGATACAGACACAATCAACATAAATAACTTCAAAAGCAAAATACCTAGAAAATTATAAACTATATTAATTACCCTTGTTTTCAGCGTTACTTAATTGTAAGTTTATATGATTTATCATTATGTTTTAAAACAATGCCTGTGTGCTTAACAACTGACTCAAAAATCCTTGAAAATTTAAGAATTGGCTCTATAAGCTGGTACAAGATGCCTCCAGCACACCACAGGGTATACAAACAACGTGAAGTTTATTTGTCAAATAGCATAGTTCCAAAATATGAAATTTTAGAGAATATCAGTAAACCGTATGGGCTGGTATCAGTACCATTTCCCTTTTATAGTATAAGAAACATGTTTCTCTCCAGACATGTTCCTCTATTCAGCAACTTACTTATAACACTCAGATTGTCATTTTAACTCAAAATCTGCATCAGTAGAGAAGCTCTCCATAAACTTTTAAAGTTTAGGGAGAATTGCTCAAATTTCTTTCAAAACAGAAATTATCTCTGCACTGAATACAAAATGACAAAAAAAAAATGTAAATTGTTTAATTCGCTGCATTAAAAAAAAAAGTCACTATACTTGACTATAGTCCAGAAATATAGGTTCAGCTAATTTCCAGTTTTATTAAGCATCATTAAAAATTTGGACTGATCATATTTCACTTCTCCTGATGGTGTTAGCCAAGTTCCTATAAATTTAATCCAACTAGGAGATTCTGAAATCACTTTCTCTTTTTACACCTCAGTTCCATAAACCACCTCTGTTATGTTTAGTACTGTTTGCTTTACATTGAAAATAATATTAAAATTTGAGTTTAAAAACATGAGAAATCTGTGACTAAAAATGCTTCTGGTAGTATTAGGAGCTGATGGGACTGTAAGGAGGGGGGTCAAATTTTCAGTGGGATTCACTATCACCTCTTTACAAACCTAATTAATTTTACATGCATTTGCCTTTACAAGTTAATTGCACATTTGGGGTTCAGATTATATGTGGGCACACACTTACATAATTATGAAGGCCCTTGAGGATTTTCTCTTAATATGTAAATAATATTTTAAATGTTTTAGTAGATTCCCTCTATATAAAGGAGAATCTGTAATTTGATGCTGCAAATAAGAGAGGAAATGTTAAAACTGTGAAATTTGTCTCAGAAGTATGTCAAGGAGCTAAATGGTCAGTCTCATTTTAAGGACATGACTTAGCACTGGTTCTCAACTTTAGCTGTCAGTTAATGAATCGGCTGAGGAGCTTAAATATTACCTGCCCATGCCTCATCCCAGGGTACTTAAATAAGAATCTCTGGGGTAGGACCCAAGGATCAGTATTTTTAGTGCTTTCCAAAAGTATAAATAATCACTCACATTCTAGTACCATTAAGGCACCTGTTTTCAATCTTGAGCATAAATCAAAATCTCTGTAGGGTTCATTCAAAAACAGAAGGCTAGAACCCATTCCCAGAGCCTCTGATCCTGTAGGTCATGCTGTTATTCCAGGGACCACACTTTAGGAACTATTGACTTAAGGGAATCAACTTTCATATTTGATTTTATTTCAGTTCAGTTCAGTTCAGTCACTCAGTAGTGTCCGACTCTTTGCGACCCCATGAATTGCAGCACACCAGGCCTCCCTGTCCATCACCAACTCCCAGAGTTTACTCAAACTCATGCCCATCAAGTCAGTGATGCCATCCAGCCATCTCATCCTCTGTCGTCCCCTTCTCCTCCTGCCTGTAATCCCTCCCAGCATCAGGGTCTTTTCCAATGAGTCAACTCTTCGCATAAGGTGGCCAAAGTACTGGACTTTCAGCTTCAGCATCAGTCCTTCTGATGAACACCAAGGACTGATCTCCTTCAGGATGGGCTGGTTGGATCTCCTTGCAGTCCAAGAGACTCTCAAGAGCCTTCTCCAACACCATAGTTCCGATTTTATTTAACATACACTTAATGACTGTTTATATATGCAAAACTAGTTTATGATGGGAGCAGTTATCCAAACAAATGTAATTCCCATCTCTACATTGTAGCATTAAATATAAAGGTATTTCATGATTAAATAGAATATTTCACACAAACTTGCATTTTTCCCCTTGGACAATTAATAGTCAAAAATAGCATAGTTTATTTCAAAATTTAGTTTAACAATTTTTGGGTTGCTTTTTCAATGATCCAATGAATGTTCGCAATTTGATCTCTGGTTCCTTTACCTTTTCTAAATCCAGCTTGAATATCTGGAAGTTCTCAGTTCACATACTATTGAACCCTGGCTTTGAGAATTTTGAGCATCATTTTGCTTACATGTGAGATGTGCAATTGTGTGGTAGTTTGAACATTCTTTAGCATTGCCTTTCTTTGGGATTGGAATGAAAATTGACCTTTTCCAGTCCTGTGGCCACTGCTGAGTTTTCCAAATTTGCTGGCATACTGAGTGCAGCACGTTAACAGACATCCCTGTGAGTGTCCAGGAGTCTCTGGCAGAGGCATGGGTCAACAGAGGTTGATGCACTGAACACAACATTGCATACACAAGACCTTTTGAAGGAAAGCCTTCATTATCTTAATTACCCCTACCATAGTTTGGTCTCAGGTCAAACAACAGGGAGGGAACACAACCCCACCCATCAGCAGAAAATTGGATTAAAGATTTACTGAGCATGGCCCTGCCCATTAAAACAAGACCCAGTTTTCCCCAGTCAATCTCTCCCATCAGGAAGCTTCCATAAGCCTCTTATCCTTATCCTGTTCCATCAGAGGGCAGACAGAATGGAAACCACAATCACAGAAGACTAATCAAACTGATCACAT